TTTCCTTGACAGGACTCAGACTCAGAACGGAGGTTGATCGGCTATTGTCTCACCCTTGCAGGCAGGAGACGCAGAATGGGTTGTTACTGTTGCTGTCCTCGGGACTCAGGGACTCAGACTTAGAACAGTGTATCTGTTATTGCCTCTTCCCTCACGGGACTCAGACTCAGTACCGAAGTTATCATCTCATCATCTCACCCATGCAGGGCTCAGACTCAGAACAGTGTAGCTGTTATTTGGTAAGGTACATTTATCTCTTTCCGATGAGGAGGAGATTGCAATCTGGCGCTTCTCCATTTCCAGGCTGTGATTGGCGGTTTCCATCAGAGTGGAGGGGACACGGAGTGGCCCACCCTTCTTTCCTCCTGTGGAACTTATTTGCATAGTCCAAACACACATTTAGAAAAGTGTCACTTAAACTTTACCAATGATCATTCACTTACCAAACCACAACCAGAATACCTTTGGCAATGTTACAAACACATTAAGTCCAAACATGATGGAAGAAGACTGAACTGTCATGCATGCATTCATTTGTCCATTAACAGCTGAGTTTGTGTAAGATGTTGCACTACACGTTGCTGTCACTGAGAATACTTATTTCTCTGAATAAGTATAAGATGTGTGTGTTGTAGTTTGTGTCAGTTTAAGGTTTGAGAACATAGTTGTGAATGGATTTGGATGGAACTCTGTGATCTCTCTTTGTTTCACCCACTGCTGCTGCGTCCAGAGGTCCTAAGGAATTTTGTCTGTTGGTGGGTGAAGGGCAGAAACTGCATTTTGACCAATAGGAAGTCCTGTCCTACCCGGGCTTTGTACCAAAGGTCTTCTTCTTGCCCTCTCAGAGGTGTCTGGCTGTTGTCCTGGCATCTTTATCTGATGACGTTGGACAGTTTGCTTATGTTAGTCCACCAAGATCCAATCAAAATGTAGCGAACCTTTGTCCACTATAGTGGTCAGAGAGGGGTCCCGCCATAAACTGGGCCCTGGAATGTGCTGTCCACTACACTGATAACAGAACAACTAGTAAGCGAAGCCTAATAACCAAAACCTGTTAACAGCAAGTCTTGTCTAGCATCCCAAAATAGCCAAAACTGTATTAACAGTCTACTATCAGCCAAAAACTTGATTGAAAAAAAACAGTGAAGAGCAGAAGCAGGAGACGAAGTGATGATAAAAAGTAGCAGAGATTATTGAATAATCTTAGTTGCATATGTTTCAATGCTCAGACTTCGTCTGACCAGCACAAATTCAACAAGTACTGTTATAACAATCTGATTCAAAACAACATCCCATAAACCTTGAGTTTACACTCCCTTGCATCTCTTATTCATGAAGACAAACAGCCCTTGAAACACAGTCATAAAACTAAACAATGGGAAAATAATATAAAAAACAACAACAATAAATGACTAATCAATTAATGAATCAATGAAATTAGTATATAAATGGTTAAAATTATTATTATATTACTTGACTTGACGAATTTACATTTTATTAAAAAGTGTTTACGTATTGTACACTCATGGTGCGCACACACATTAGGATAGTTTAGATGTCTGCCTCTGTGGCGAGTCCCTATCAAGCACTTTACCGATTCAACTACTCTCTTCTTCTCCTCCTGCCTAGCTCTTTGGCCAGCATCACTCACCGCAGAGCAAGCCCGTTCTTGATAATGCTGCTGTGAAAACGTGGGAAATGTAGACGAGGAAGAAGTTGGAGTGAAGCGATCTTTATATAGGTGGAGCAAAATACTTTATCGCTCCATCTATAGCGCATTGTAATTGGATGGTTTACGCTGTCTATACAGGAGACAATCCAATGGGCCACTGGCTGCTAGCTATCCCTGCGTGATGGTCCTTGGCAAAGAAAAAAAACATTCTGTCGGCCCCTTAAGTGCGTCGGCTCACCGGGAAAATGCCCGGTATACCCGATTACCAATTCAGCTCTGATTACAGATGCTACACAGCAAGATACAAACCTCTGATCATCACCAAAAATAGAAAGGCAAGATTCGAGTTTGCAAAAGCCAGTAGTGTATTGGAACAGAGTTTTATGGACAGATGAGACAAAGATTAACCTTAATCTTAGTGATGGGAAAACAAAAGTGTGGAGAAAAAGTGGAAATGCTAATTATCCTAAGCATACAACCTCATTTGTAAAGCATGGTGGAGATTGTGTTGTGGCATGGGCATGCATGGCTGTCTCTGGAACAGGCCCTTTCAATTTTAATGATGACTTAATGTATGATAAATAATAGTAGCAAAATGAATTTGGAAGGGAACAAAACCATCTTGGCTTCCAATATTCAAGAAAATGCCACCAGATTCATTGGGACGTGCTTCATATTGCATCAGGACAATGACCCAAAACACACTGCCAGTTCAGTCAAGAAGTTTATCAGGGCAAAGAAAGGGAAAGTCTTAGATTGCTCAAATCAATCTCCAGATTTAAATCCCATTGAACATGAATTTCATCAGCTGAAGAGGAGACTAAAGGCAGAAAATCCCCAAAACAAGCAACAGTTGGAATTGGCTACATTAAAGGCTGAGAAAAGCATTTCAAAGGATAAGACCAAGAGTCTGGTGATGTCTATGGGTCGCAGACTCGCTGCTCGGATTGCATGCAAGGGATCTGCAACAAAATAATACCTTTTAATCTTTTACATCAGCCTTAAGTTCCAACTGTCCCAATACATATGCTCACATCAAATAGTGAGATGAACCCTAAAAGTGCTGTCCTTTTTATTTGGTAAAACATGTGTGTTGAAACAGCTAATAATAAAATGTGACATTCTGTAGTTTTGTCTCATATTCATCTTTTAATCATATTTGCAAATGTCTTGACTCCACAGCAAACAAAGAAATTTTGTCTTTACTGTTTCAATACTTATGGAGGGTAGTGTGCATATACAGTGGGTACGGAAAGTATTCAGACCCCCTTAAATTTTTCTGTTTCTCCTGTATATGTGTGTGTGTATATATATATATATATATATATATATATATATATATATATATAGTGCTGTCAAATGATTAATTGCGATTAATCGCACCCAAAATACAAGTTGTGTGTGTACTGTGTATATTTATTATGTATATATAAAGACACACACATACAGCATATATTTTGAAAATATTTACATATATTTACATGTATACATTTATATAAATTATATCATATATAAATATATTTAATATATAAACGTAACTTATTTTTCTTAAATATATACATGCATGTGTGTGTATTTCTACATAATAAATATACACCGCACCCACACACACGCATATATCATGTAAAAAAAAACTTTTATTTTGGATGCGAATAATCGCGATTAATCGTTTGACAGCACTATATATATATACACACACGCACACTACCCTCCATTATGCCGGGAGAGAAAGTGTTGGTGTTGTTTCCTTCGCCTGGTTCTGCATTGGCTGCCCGTTTTACAGGCCCTTATGTAATCAAAAGTAAAGTGAGTAATACTGATTACGTAATTCATACTCCAGAACGCAGACAGAAGCCGTGCTTGTGTCATGTGAATGTTAAAACCATATCTATGCTGTACTGCTGAAACTGAAAAGGAAATGAATTTTCCTGAGGGAAAGTTACAGGTGCAAAAGGCAGAGCAAGTATCTATGCTGTCTCGTATCCTGGTGATTGATGAGGGTGATGATGGGTTGAACATGTCCACTGAGTTATTAAATGGTGGCTGTTTAAAAAATTCTGAAGTCCTAAAAGTGTTCCCTTCTCACCTATCTCATTTATCCAGTGACCAGCAGCAGGATATAATGGAGTTGGTGAAAAGTTTTCCTGACCTGTTTAGTTATGTTCCGTCTGGTACCGCTGTCATCCAGGATGACATTGAGGTAGGTAACGCGGTTCCAATAAAACAGCATGCGTATCGCTGTCCAGCCGGGAAGAGGGAGATCATGAAGTAGAATATCTAGTCCAGAATGGGTTTGCTAAAAAGAGCAATAGCCCTTGGAGTTCACCGTGTGTTTTGGTGCCTAAAGCTGATGGGTTATTTAGTTTTTGCACTGATTTCCGAAAAGTGAATTCTGTTACTGTACCAGATGCATTTCCATTGCCGCGCATAGAAGATTGTATTGATAACCTCGGCACGGCTCAATACATTACTAAATTAGACCTTTTAAAAGGCTATTGGCAAGTGCCATTGACTGAACTTGCTTCTGAAGTTTCTGCATTTGTGACGCCTGATTCTTTCTTCCAGTATACTCGAATGGCGTTTGGACTGTGAAACGCACCCGCCACATTTCAAAGGTTGATGTCTATGGTTTTGGGTGACGTTCCGAATTGTAACATCTATTTGGATGACGTAGTCATTTATTCTTCTGCGTGGTCTGATCACATTTCCACGTTGCACAATGTTTTTAGTCGATTAGCAGCCTTAACATTAAACTTGAAAAAATGTGACTTTGCAAAAGCTTTCGTCACGTATCTAGGAAAACAGGTCGGGAACGGTCAAGTACGTCCTGTGGACGCAAAAGTGACCGCTATTCTCGTGTACCCGGTACCTGAAACAAGGCGAGAGTTGCGATGATTTTTGGGGATGGCTGGCTATTACAGATGTTTCTGTAAAAATTTCTCGACTGTGGTTGCCCCTTTAACTAAAATGTGCAGTCCTGAAGTCCTAAACTGCAAAGAAGAGACTTGGCACACAAAAATGCTCCAGTATTGTCTGCTCCTGACTTAGCTCGCTCGTTCAAGCTCGAGGTGGATGGCATATCCCATCCAGTGTCCTATTTTTTTGCTAAATTTAATCGTCACCAATTGAATTATTCCACTATTGAAAAGGAGACTCTGGCTCTGTTGCTTGCTTTGCAGCACTTTGATGTGTACGTTGGATATAGTTCTACTCCCATCGTCGTCTACACGGACCACGACCCCTTGGTTTTTTAAAATAAAATGTACAACCACAACCAACGTCTAATGCGTTAGGCTTTAATGGCTCAGCATTACAACCTTGATATACGCCATAAGAAAAGAACTGACAACATCGTGGCAGATGCCCTTTCTCGGGGCTAGGTAATTGTTTGTTTTCAATTAAGTTTAACTGGGTTTGTATCTATATGTATGTATAACATTTATTTATTTATTTTCTTGTTTGCTTTCACCTAGAACCTGTCTCTTCTGTAAAAAGCAGACTAGGTTCTTCTTTTTGGTGGGGGAGTGTTATGGCCTAGGCCTTGAGTGTATCTTCCTTCATGTGACGTCATGTCTCCCCTAATCTTTCTCTTTGAGTCTGATTGTTTAGGTCCACCCCGGTGCACCTGTGTCTCATGGAATAAGTGATTACTAGCTATATAAAGGATGCTGAAGTGGAGCATGGAAGGGAAGGAGATCCACCAGCAAACAAGCTTCATTACCCCTTTTCTTAATTCTTAAATTTTGGGTTTGTTTTTCTTTTGTTGACTTTATACTGTAGAGTTGCTCCGTGGTTTGGGGAAGTATATTATCCTTTGCTAGTTATTCTATGTTCATTTGTGGTTTCCGTTTTCTTCGTTTGGATACGTGTTTTCAATTTGTGTTATGTTCCGTTCTGTTATTTAAATAAATCTTTTCGCCTGGCATTTTGATTCACGTGTCCTCTTTATGCTGCATCCCCCTTTCTGGCTAAACTTAACAGGGGTTTGTAACAATATATATATATATATATATATATATATATTAGGGGTGTAACGGCACACAAACATGACGGTTTGGTACGTACCTCAGTTTTGACGTCACGGTTCGGTATAGTTTCAGTACAGGAGGAGGAAAAAAACTAAACAAATAGCTTCTTTTTTAGTTATACAAATTTACTGAACAAATTGCTCTTTCTTTAAATAAATTCAATATAACAAATTTTCTTAGGGATAAAAATCTACCTCAGCTTCTGCTCTAAACTATAGGGAGCCCTTTTACATTACTACAAGGTTACAATTAACAACAGAGCCCAAAATTAAAATCAATTACTATTTATTTTTAACTATAAGAATTAACACTCAAATAAAAAAAAATGTTTGTATATTAACTTCTAAATTATACAATTTCTATTTGTTGTTGAAATATAATTTACAGAGTGGCTGTCATAACTTGTTTCATAAAAGATTTATTTAAACATACATTAAGACATCACTAACAGGTAAAGTAAATTATAATGAAGTATATAGTCTAATATTTCACCAAATGCTCTTCACTATAGACTTCATTTCTCTAGCAAATAGACTGTAGACACATATGACTTTTCTGAGGTAAATGAAATGCTACATGTCATTTTGTTTACAAGCTGTTTTAAAGATGTCTTTCCGTGGTTGAAATGCTAATTGAGCGATTACATGAGGGGTGAGATGTCAATTCATGTTTATTTCGCATTAAAACTAGTAGGCTAATAGAGAGGAAGGGATGACTGCCCTCACTTGCGCTCCAAGCTGCCGTCAGAACTGAGGCGTTTATACAGCTATCTGTCTTATTAGTATTATACAGCCACATCAAAGAGTGCCAAAATGCCATTTATTGTCTGAATTTCCTGAAAAAAAATGGAACGATTTGTTTGGTTCACATAATTTCCAAACCGAAAGACCCATATCGAAAATTTTCAGTACGAATATGTGTACCATTACATTAGGAATGCAACACTACGTCCGAAGACAATAGAAAATTGTCATGTAAAGCTGATGACCACAGGCTCGGTGAACGATGCAAGAAGTGGCCACCCATCCACATTACGGTCAGCAGAGAATGTGGCGACAGTGCAAGAAATGTTTACCCACAGAAGACTGTATTCCATTACCGGCCATTTGAGAAAAATGTTTGACGCCACCGGTGCCTACAATGAAATTTAAATATTTGCTTTAATTTTCCTATGTAATAAAGTACATTGTACAATTTGTTTCAATAATTCAAGGCATTGATGTTTGCCTACAAAACCACCACTGGCTCTGCACCCCTTTACCTAAATTCATTACTGGCCTGATCTTCCTAATGTTGTATAAAGTATATCTGCAGGAACAGGCAGTTTTAGCAGTGTGGTCTGAGAAATTCAGCTGATCATCAATCACATCTCCAAGGTTTCTGGCTGTTTTTGAAGGAGTTATGGTTAATGTGCTTAGCTGGATGGTGAAATTGTGATGAAGTGATGGGTTTGTTGAAACCACAAGCACTTGGCAAGGTTAAGTTAAAGGCGATTGTCCTTCATCCAGCAAGAAATGTCTGTTAGACAAGCTGAGATGCGAGCAGCTATCGTCGGATCATCAGGATGGAATGAGAGGTAGAGTTAGGTGTCATCAGCATAGCAGTGATATGAAAAGCCATGTTTCTGAATGACATAACCTAGTGATGCCATATAGACAGAGAAAAGAAGTGGTCCAAGAACTGAGCCCTGAGGCACCCCAGTAGCTAGATGTTGCAACTTGGGACACCTCACCCCTCCAAGATCAAATCAAAAGCAGTGGACAGATCCAGCATGATAAGTAAAGAAGATTTGGAAGCTGCTCTTGCCAGTCTTAGAGCTTCAACAACTGAGAGCAAGGCAGTCTCGGTTGAATGTCCATTTCTGAAGCTAGACTGGTTGCGGTCCAGGAGGTTTTTCTGTGTGAAAAAGGCAGAGACTTGGTTTAACACAACTCGTTCAAGTGGTTTTGCAATGAAAGGAAGAAGGGAAACCGGTCTGTAGTTCTCTAAAAGAGTTGGGTTAAAAGTGGGTTTCTTAAGTAATGGGGTTATACGAGCCTGTTTAAATGTTGAGAGAAAAACACCAGTGTGAAGGGATGTGTTAATTATGTGAATGAGTGCAGGTACAACTGCAGGAGAAATGGCTTGAAGGAGATGAGATGGAATAGGATCAAGCTGACAAGTAGTAGGATGATTGGAAAGGATGAGTTTAGAGACTTCTGCCTCAGAGAGTGGAGAGAAGGATGTGAATGACTATGTTTGCTGGTAAGATGTGTTTGACAGTTTGTGGTGTGGAGAATTGTGCACTGATGGTTGTAATTTTATTACTGATGAACGTGGCAATTTCGTCAGCTGTTGGAGGGGGAGAATGCGAGAGTTAGGCGAATTGTTAATTTTGTTGTGATAGTATGTCCTTTTAGCAGTGGAGACATTAGCAGAGAAGGAACCACATACAAAGAGCCGGTAACCAATTAAAAATATAACAATCACTCCTTGTTGGTTAAGAAAATTAAACTTCATGATTGTATACATATGCAAAACACTGTGTACTGGCTTAGATGACCAAACGCGGAGTAAGTGAGGGCACTAGTGGTAACTACTTTACTGGGAGGTTAAATCAACAGTAAATTTTTAAAACAAATATGAAATATTGTTCACAACAACAAAACATTTACAAAATATAATATTAAACAAAATTAACAGAAAGGGTTGCACAACAAGTCAAACTGCTATGTCTTTATTCCAACTGTTCTTTTTCTGTTGAAACGTGCTGATATAAACACACAAAAAAATTTACGTATATAAAAATATGCTTTACTTTCCTTCATGAATGAGAGCAAAGGAACTAAGAGTTTTCTTGTAGGAACAAGAGCATCAAAAACAACTTAAATCATGCAAACACTATTCTACATTTATTTTAATCACTGCATAAAAGATAATACTGATTAACAAATGGTGATTAAACATGGACGAAGAGGATATAATAAGGCGGCGAAGAGAAGGTGATGAGCCATGGAATCCACTCTGCTTCAATCTTTTAAGAAAATTATATACAAATTGCAAAAACCATAATACAGCATCATGATTTAAATTATATCATGTAGTAAACTCATACAACAATAAAACTTCTTAGATATTGTTGATTTGGGAGAAACTAACTTTTAATTTCAGTGTAACACCTTCAGATGATGTTTTGCTGTTCTGTCACTTGTTGTTGCTGGTTAGAGCAGATTTATATAGAAGATATTTTATTGCTTGCTTTATTGGGCCATGTTTGGTGAGGACATGTGTCTCATTTAAATGTGCTGGATCCAAAGAAGAATTCAGATATTCAGAGTTCATGATTTCAGACATTTGTTTTTTGTATGAGATGAATGAGTGAAACTCTTCCCACATGGAATGCAGTGATAGGGTTTTTGTCCAGTGTGGATTCTCTCATGTTTTTTCAGATGATCTGACCATTTGAATTCCTTGTCACAGTGTGAACACTTGAAAGGTTTTTCTCCAGTGTGAACCCTCTCATGTGATTTCAGATAATCTGACCGACTGAATCTCTTGCCACATTTTGAACACTTGAAAGGTTTTTCCTCACTGTGCATTCTCTGGTGCAGTTTCAGTTCAGCATATCTAACAAAAGTCTTCCCACAATCAAAGCACATGTGATCCTTCACACTGTTGTGTCTTTTCTGATGTAATTTTAAAGTACCCGACTGACTAAAACTCCTTCCACACAAAGAACACATGTAAGGCTTCTCCTTTGTATGAACTTTCAGGTGGTCCTTCAGCGCATCTGACCTAAAAAAAGTTTTACCGCACTGATTACAGGCAAATGGTCTTTCTCCAGAATGACGACGCAGGTGTATTTTAAGAGTGCAAGACTTTCTGAAACTCTTTCCACACTGATCACATGTGAATGGCTTCACTCCAGTATGGATTGTCATGTGTTCACTAAGAGATCCTTTTTGTCTGAAACTCATCCCACATTGATCACATGTGTGTGGTTTCACTCCAGTGTGGATTGTCATGTGTTCCTTGAGAGATCCTTTTTGTCTGAAACTCATCCCACATTGATCACATGTGTGTGGTTTCACTCCAGTGTGGATTGTCATGTGTTCCTTGAGAGATCCTTTTTGTCTGAAACTCTTCCCACATTGATCACATGTGTACGGCTTCTCTCCACTATGACCTCTCATGTGAATATTAAGACTCTGTATGTACGGGAAACTCTTCCCGCACTGATCACATGAGTACGGCTTCTCTCCAGTGTGGATTCTCATGTGATCCTTAAGGCTTCCTTTCATCGTAAAACTCTTCCCACACTGATCACATGAGTATGGCTTCTCTCCAGTGTGGATTCTCACGTGATCCTTAAGGTTGGCTTTTATCGGAAAACTCTTCCCGCATTGATCACATGTGTGCAGATTCTTTCCAGTGTGGATTCTCATGTGATCCTTAAGGCTTCCTTTCATCGTAAAACTCTTCCCACACTGATCACATGAGTATGGCTTCTCTCCAGTGTGGATTCTCACGTGATCCTTAAGGTTGGCTTTTATCGGAAAACTCTTCCCGCATTGATCACATGTGTGCAGATTCTTTCCAGTGTGGATTCTCATGTGTACTTTCAGGCTTCCTTTTACTGTGTAACTCTTCCCACATTGATGGCAGATGAAAGACTTTTTGGCTTTTCTTTTCAATAAATTACTTTTAGTCTGTGAGCGACTCAAAGATTTCTTACTAGTTTTGACATGATGCCGTTTCTCCTCTGCTTCACTCAGTTCTTCACTCTCCTCACTCTCTTCCATCAGGTCTAAAATGAAAGCAAGAAAAGGTTATGTAGTGAATTAGCTCAACTTCAATCTTTTAATTAACCTGTTCATTAATGTGAACACTTAAAAGTCTGTGTAAAGTCAATTCTGAGAATTGTTTTGAAACACATTATAAATGTTAGAAGGGCATTGCTAAAACATATTGCAAAGACTATGTAGTACTATGATCTATGTAGCACTTAATTGTGAAGTTAGACCGTTAAACAGTTTTTCACCATTTTTCGTGTTCAGGATTCTTTAGGCAGGGCTAAAACCCTGAGCATGGCCTCTCCACTAGACCGATCGGTGTGTGACATCGAAGTACAGAGAGAGCTTTAGAGAGCAGATCTTTCAAATCTTCAATAAAACTTTGATGTGCATCATCTCAGTTTATTACATCAACATAACAAAAGATGTGATTGCAAAACAAGCAACAAAAAGGCATTACATGCAAATTTACATTATAATGTAAATATATGTAGTAGCCAGCAGTGATCTCAGCAAAAATAGTACTTGCAAATTAATTTTACGCAGATTACGTATTAGTTAATTTTCCTAAAACCACTAGAACAATGTTATATATTTAGTTGACTTGTGTACTTACATTATATCCCAAATGTTTCCATGAATGTTTAAATCCAGAGAAATAAGCAATTGTAACTAGTGCCCCATCCTTTGTCACTGCATCACCTTCAAAGACGCCATTCTCATGTTGCCCTCGATTTCCCGTTTTACTTTGTAGAAACCATGGAAACACCAAAGACGCTTTCATATACTATGCATTTTATTAGACAGGTGAGCAACTGTCTGTTTACAAAACTAACCATTGTTATATAGCTCAACACTGTTAGTCTTAGAAGTGTTGACGTCACACACACAGGCCCCTCCCACGATTGTTTGATTGACAGTAGCGTTTCAGCACAGACTGGACTGGTGTCTTACCTTAGACCCTCCCTGAGTGAGCTGTCATCAGTCCGCCATTGTTTCACCACCGGAGAAGATGTACACAAGACTGTCTCCTAAGCAATTGAGGTGTTTTGTTGTTGAATGTAATAATGAACTGAACATAGCAGTAGTCATTTACTCCCGACATCTGAGCTGCTGAAGACGCTGTGAATTACGTTTGTTTTTGAAGGGAATGCGCCCCCAATCTACCTAAATGAGTTTATGTTTGTGCGAATCATTCGTGATTCAGCTTCACCTCCAGAAAAAGTGAGTATAAGGTTTTTTAATGAATCTTTGTAAATCGCCTTTCCTAATAATGTGCTAATTAGCAAGTTTCACGATGAATGTGGCTAAAGTAAACAGTCCCTCAGAGAGCGGCTCGGAAGAGAGGGGCGGGGTCAGCAGAGCTCATTTGCATTTAAAGGAAAATGCTACAAAACGGCTTGCTCTGAAAAGAGCTGTTTTTGACAGGGTAAAAAAAGGTGTTTTTTAAACTACCATTGAGAAATTTTAACCAAACTATGTTACAGACTTTATTAAGACCCTAAAGAATCATATTGTGGAAAATGGGCATCCGATGACCCCTTTAAAGTGCCCCTGCTTTTAGATCCTCACCTCAGCCTTCTTTCTCCAATCCTTCTTACAGAACGACTGACCCACAATGGATCTAGCAGGGAGTAATTGGCTCTGAGCACTCCGTTCAATTTTTCAAGATGACCACCCTATTGAAAAATATGTATAAGATACAAAGAAAATGTATATATATTTTTTTTTGCATATTCTCATATCTCACAATTGGCAGACGTCATTTTACTGGACTGTTTTTGGGGGAGCGGATAGGACAATGACACTGATGCCATGGGGTGATACCAGGTGGACCATGGCTCAATATGTGGACTTGGCCCTACAGCTGTGTAGATCTCCTGTCACAGTAGGACAGGTAGAGGAGGAACCACCCCTAAACTTTCCCCCACAGAGCTTGGTCCACGGACTCCAGCCATCATGGCTACCACTGGATCCGTCTCAACGCGGACAAGACTAGTATCCAGTGTGGAGGATCCTCAGCCTATGCTCTCAAGCCTGCAAGCCTCAGTGTTCTCAAGATTGCTGACCACAGCACTCACAAAGGGATGTAAATAATGATTTGTTTGTAGATGAATATTTTAGCCTCCTATGTGTTGTGAAAAGCACTTGTTTTTGTGTTTCAGTTCTAAGCAAAGTTGGTGTATTGATGACTTCTGAGGATTACAGAATACCTAAAGAGGACAATAATTCAATTTACTCAGTTTATTAAAAATACATTTTCAAAAACCGAAGTGATTTCCTTGTTTTATTAGTTAGAATGGATATAACTCAACATTTTAACAAACTCAAAAAGCTGAATAATCAATAAAAGCGACTGATCAATCTGTGAAATATTCAAAGGTTAGTTGATTAATCATTCTAATAATCTCGGATTAATCAATATTAACCATCACACCTGGAAGTACAGGATCAGTACTTGAACTGCTTACTGTAATTTCAGACATGCACACATGTAATTTATGACAGATTAGAGAAGATAATTGAGTGAATCTCTTCCCACATGAATGGCAGTGATACGGCTTCTCTCCAGTGTGGATCTTCTCATGTATTTGTAGATGTGTTGAACATTTGAATTTCTTGTCACAGTGTGAACACTTGTAAGGCGTTTCTGTAGTGTGAACTGTCTGGTGCTGTTTCACTTCACTATCAGTAAAAAAAGCCTTCCCACACTCAGAGCAAATATGATCCTTCACATCGCTGTGTCTTTTCTGGTGATAATTTAAAGCAGCCAGCTCACTAAAACTCTTTCCACACAAAGAACACAAATGAGGGTTTTCCTTTATATGAACTTTCAGGTGCTTCTTCAGGGCACCTGTCGTAAAAAATTTTTTACCACACTGGTCACAGTCATATTGCCTTTTTCTAGAAAGAGTACGCAGATGAACTTCAAAAACACTTGATTTTGTGAAACTCTTCCCACACTGATCATATGTCTGCAGCTTTTCACCAGTGTGGATTTTCATGTGTTTGTTAAGGTTTCCTTTTTGTGCATAACTCTTCCCACACTGATCACATGTATACGGCTTCTTTCCATTGTGGATCCTCTCATGTATTTTCATATATTTTGACCGTTTGAATCTCTTGTCACAGAGTGAACACTTGTAAGGTGTTTCTGTAGTGTGGATCCTCATGTGATCATTAAGGGTTTCTTTTAATGTGAAACTCTTCCCACACTGATCACATGTGTGTGGCTTCTCCCCAGTGTGGCTTTTCATGTGTTTGAAAAGGCTTCCTTTTTGTTTGAAACTCCTGCCACACTGATCACATGTGTGTGGCCTCTCTCCAGTGTGGACTTTCATGTGTTCCTTAAGGTTACCTTTTTTTACGAAACCCTTCCCACACTGATCACATGTATGTTGCTTCTCTCCAGTGTGGATTTTCATATGTTTGTTAAGGTTTCCTTTTTGTCCAAAATTCTTCCCACAGTGATCACATGTGTGTAGCTTCTCTACAGTGTGGATATTCATGTGTTGATTAAGCATTTCTTTTAGTCTAAAACTCTTCCCACATTGATCACATGTATACGGCTTCTCTCCAGTGTGGATCCTCTCATGTATCCTCAGATATTCTGCCCGTTTGAATCTCTTGTCACAGTGTGAACACTTGTAAGGTGTTTCTGTAGTGTGAACTGTCTGGTGCACCTTCAGTGCACCATATGTAAAAAAAGTCTTCCCACACTCAGAGCAAGCATGATCCTTCACTCCGCTGTGTCTTTTCTGATGTATCTTTAATGCAACCATCTGGCTAAAACTCTTTCCACATAAATAACATATGTAAGGCTTCTCCTTTGTATGAACTTTCAGGTGGTCCTTCAGGAAATTTGCCCTAAAAAAATGTCTACTGCTTTGGTCACATTTTTCTAGTTTTTCTCTAGAATGAGTAAGCAGATGTTTTTTAAAACCACCATATTTTCTGAAACTCTTCCCACACTGATCACATGTGTATGGCTTCTCTCCAGTGTGGATCCTCAAGTGTTCGTTAAGAGTTTGCTTAAGTCTGAAACTCTTCCCACACTGATCACATGTGTATGGCTTCTCTCCAGTGTGGATCCTCAAGTGTTCGTTAAGAGTTTGCTTAAGTCTGAAACTCTTCCCACACTGATCACATGTGTATGGCTTTTCTCCAGTGTGGATCCTCATGTGTACATTAAGGGCTCCTTTTTGTGTGAAACTCTTCCCACACTGATCACAAGTGTATGGCTTCTCTCCAGTGTGGGTTTTTAGGTGTGCATCACGGTATTCTTTTTGTGAGAAACTCTTCCCACACTGATCACATGTGTACGGCTTCTCTCCAGTGTGGATCTTTGTGTGTTTGTTAAGAGTAGCTTTTAGTCTGAAGCTCTTCCCACATTGACCGCATGTGTACGGCTTCTTCCCAGCATGGATATTCATGTGTTTTTTAAGGATTACCTTTAGTCTGAAGCTCTTTCCACACTGACCACATGTGTATGGCTTCTCCCCAGTGTGGATATTCATGTGTTTTGTAAGGTTTCCTTTTATTGTGAAAGTCTTTTCACACAGATCACATGTGTACAACGTCCCTTCAAGATGAAATTGTATGTGAATATCAGGATTTTGCTTAAATGAGGGACTCTTTTCACACTGAGGCCATATTTTGCCTCTTCTTTTCAATGAGGATGTCCAAGATATCTCTTCAGTTTTGACATAATGGTTCTCCCCCTCTTCAATCAGTTCTTCAATCTCCTTGTTCTGTTCTATCAGGTCTAAAATTAAAGTAAAAAACTTTAGTGAAAAAAAGTTTTCAGAAAATCTTAAAAGAAAAAAAATGTGAAAGGAAAGGGAGATACGAAACTTGAGAAAGCTTTTGAAAGTAAATATTTTGATGCATTACACTTATTTCCAATTATTGTTTTAAAAACATTACAGGCACAGGTTTTGCAGTGAGAACTATTACTAAAAATTTTCACATTTTCGAAATATGGTTGCAAAAATTGTGAACCAGATATAGATAA